GAGGTTGAAATCAGCAGCTTTTGTGAAAAGAATTTCAATCCTATTTATTTGTAGATATGAATTCTGTAACTGAGTTAAATACAACATTAACTAGAGGTTTCTCCTCACCCTTCTGAAATAGAGAGAATTGAGGACCACTCACAACAAATTTGCAGGTCAACGAGACACAATTTAATCTATGATTGGGGCTGTTATCACATAGGTCCTCAATTCTTAAAGTACCCCCCAAAGATGATAAAAAAGGAGATAGGACTCACTACTACATACCTCAACCTGAACCCATGCAGGCTGATTCACAGAGATAGGACTCACTACTAGGAGGGACTATCATTTCAATCCCTACATACCTCAACCTGAACCCATGCAGGCTGATTCACATAACTAGTACTTGTCCACTCATTATTAAACAGCCTTATTGTGATTTTTGATCAGGACCAAAAAATACTGATACTGAGAATGACCTGTGATGCAGCTAAGGAGAAACAGGTAAAAGGATAAGCACCTTTTTCTTTCTTTGTAAACACTCCTCCTGAGATGAGATTCCCTTATGGAAGTAAGTCAAAGCAGGGGTGGGCAATCATTTTTGCAGGGGGGCCACTTAATGAATTTCGGTGCATGGCCACGAGTCGGGTCCACTCCTGGAAAGGATAGGGCTCGTGGTGGAAGAGGTGGGACTGGGGACTAGTCTCTACACTCAGAGCTGTCTGGGGTCAGAGGCTTTGAATTAAAAACACAGCAAAGGGCTCGCATCTCCGACCCCTGCCAAGGTAGCACCATGACCGTGAGCCATGAGCCATTTAAAAAACGATACTGCTGCCTGAGCCACTGCCTGGAAATTTGGGAGCAGCAGGATATAAATAGAAAGCGGCCAGATGCAGTCCGTGGGCCAGATCAAAGCGTTAGACAGGCCGGATCTGGCCCCTGGGCCGCATCTTGCCCAGCCTTGAGCTAACAGTTACGTGAGTAGATGTTTGCTGGTTTAACTCCTGAACATCCACATCCTACAAGGTGGGAGAATCGGCATGAAATATTTTTGAGCGCTTTCTAGAAGAGAGGAAATGAAGGGAATGCACAGGCTACACAGAAATATCAAAGACTGATGTGTCATGACCTAAGAAATTCCTACTCTGGGTACCTGCTGTTGAATTGATTGCATTTAGTATTTTTTTAACGTCACAAAGAGGCGCCAAGGTTGACAGGGTCTCATTTGTATGGAAGCACTTCAGAGCTGCTAAACCAGTCCGATTGTAGGTTCAAACATCAAAGATGTGCAGGGATCATGCTGAGAACAAGTTCTCTGCCTATACAAACAAGGAGTGTTTCTTCCCCCTTGTTAATTTAGGTGCACAACCACTGATGAATCTGGTTTTAGGGCAGTGGTTTTAAAACTTTATTTTCTTGTGACCCAGTTGTAAAAACTGCTTATGACAGCAACCCAATTATTATATCTTTTTGAGACGTCCCTTCCCCCCACCGTGGAGCTCTCCAGTGAGCTCCCTAGCTACTGGGAACTCCAACACTCTCCTGCCGAGCTCCAGCTGACAACCCAGTGCTCCACATCCTGCGACCCAGTATTGGGTCGCAACCCTAGGTTTGGGAATCACTGTTTTACAGCAGATGGGCAACTGTTTGACTCCATATCACAGGGGGTCAGCAAAGCTAAGTTACTCAGGATTTGGCTTCCTGCCCTGAGCTCTAGTGAGTCTAATGCTGGCCCCAATCTCTGGTTTATTTGGGCAGACCTCCCCTCACCCCTAAAAAAACCCAAACCTTTGCTCACAGGGCGCAGATCCCTGGTTGAGAATTCTTCTACTGTGCTACATTTCTCTCATAATCATTGTAACACACAACCCTCAAGCCCCAGAGGGATAAGATTAGAGTCTGAGATGGACAATGAAACTGCAGGCTCATATCTACAGGCCGCAAAGGGAAAAAAAACCAGGATGGTAGAAAATGGCAACCCCGAAGAGGGTCAGAGCTTAAAATCAACCTGTGACAAAAATCACATCTATACTCTGAAATGATCCCTTCCTCTTATAATATAAAGGAAGAGATCCTTCTTTCCTGAGTCACTGTAAATACAGAAAGGGGACAGATTAACACTGACAGCTCAGTAAGGCCACAAAAAGTAGTTTAGAGTTTGATTTCAGATATGAGTAACTCCTTCCCTTTTAAATCCCAGACCTTGGTATGTATTTAATACATCATTTCCTGGAGCAGCTTCTACCTGATGAGTCCTTACACTTCTTAGCCTGTGAAGCTGGCATTACAAGGCCACTTCAATAGATTACTGCCTAATACTTCATATCCCACTCTTAGAAAAACTCTCTTTGCACAAATCACTATCATACTCACTGAACTGAGTGGGTATTTCCATGTGTTGCACTACTAGAACTTGTCTCGGGCTGCAATGGAACCCTCACTTTCTGGCAACTGCTGGTCAGCAAAAAATGGTTGATGGTGCCCAAAGTGCTATTGTAGGATGCACAAATGCTAGGTTTTCCTCTTATTGGAAAAAGGCTCCATTTCCATGCTCAATTATGATCAACATGATTATCAGAGGCTGGCTGCAGGTTGCTTTCTAGTTGTTAATTTCGCAAGAGGCAAGAATAAGTCTGGGGAACGAAGAGGAGCTCTTTGAAAGATGCCAAAATTCTTCTGATTAGCCCTGAGTCCTGCCCATCTTTCCAGAGGAAATGAGAAAGCCAGAGACTAATGAATGAGTCGAGTGGTCTTTGGCAAATTAGAAGGTAGGTGCCGATATCTTAATTGGCATTTACATCTTTATAGTTAAGTTTTGGCATAGAATGATTCAAATGGGAACAGATACAATTAGTCTTTCAATCCTAAGGATCCCTCCAAATTGTAATTGAAGGACACAGGTAGGGGGCTGTGGGGAAGTCTGAAATGTCAGATAGGTATACACTTTTTAGTTGTAAATAGGGTTGTCACGCTAGCCCCTTGCACTAGTATTAAATTCACATATTTTAAAATATATATTTTTACCATGTAGTCTGAAGAAGCAATGAACTCCACTGTGGAATTTTGGACTTCTGGCCGCTTATGAGGCTCCCCGTAGGATCGTGTCAAAGGGTTATACATAAATTCCTCAGGAACTAAATGAAAATTAGGAATCCAAAGTAAATTATTCACTGACAGATACACAGACTTAGTGACAATTAACAACATTCAACATAAAGTTAAAGCAGCAATTAGACCATAAACATTTAAAAAGTATGTAGGTAAGAAAACAGTAAAAATGTTGTGAAACCTAAATATCAAAGTTAAGGAACTGAAGACAAGAACATCTATTTTATGGACAAAGTACATCTACTCTGTGCTTCCAGTGCCCTACAATGAGATGTTTCAACATGCACTGTATTTCTGAAACTGGTTTTTGTCTTTGATTGCTGTTAAGTATGACCTTGACTGATTGTGTATTATGCTAGTAGTCAGTGGAGAAAATTGCTTTTAAATTACAGTAAAACTCCATTGGTCCAGCATCCAATGCTCCAGCACTCCTGATGGTCTGGCACCATCAGGAACCCGGAAGTGCTCCGGCTGCTGGACAATTGGAGCTGCTCTGCTCCCGGCTTCCCTGATTCAGCTGCTGCTGAAACTGACCAGCAGCTGAATCGGGAAGCCAGGGGCAGAGCAGCTGGGGGTGCTCC